TTCTGATGGGTCAACTATCTTGCATCACGTAATACATTCAGTGCATAATACAACAGATAAATAGGGGTAGATGAGTCATCATCACTGTGAAGGAAGTAGAACAAACAGAGAGCATGCTAGATTATTATCGGATAGTCACGAAAAAACATACCTATATCAGGGGGAACTGGATCCATTGTACCGCGAGTATTCCCATTAGGATGATGATTAGTTGATAGTCCTCGATTAGTTGGTGATTGATTTATTTTTACACTATCATGATGATTCTTAATGGTTGGTTTTACTTGATTTCTATGTACAAAACGATATGTCGCTTCAAATCCACGTGATTGCTTACCATCATTATTACTGATAAATGTGATCAGCATATTTGAACCTTTAGAGATAATCTGTACATCATTTGTTGACTGCCATGGACGTATTGGATAATTTGAATTGGTTGAAGAATAGGCATATTGTTAGAATGATAAAGTGAATTCGGTATTGAAGCTAAGGAGAATATTGAGGAGTGTGTATTACCGGTATTTTTAGAGATTAGTGTTATTTTCTCAGCTTCAGATATCTCTAGATAATCACCTTTTGGAGGAAGTGTATTATTTCTATAAAATAGACAGAAGTGTGACAACCAACTGACTTATAACCAAGAAATATAAAACATGGAAAGAAGTTGTCATCTGATTCATTACAGGAGATTAGCTAACGAATTAGAGATTTGCTCTGGTTGCAAATGTCTTACACAAGTGATTCGTCAGGAATATACTTACCCAATCGCGTATAGTCAATCCGACCACACGATCCATTACACAGTTCGACCCTCCTGTGCAAGTTGTACAACAAAATACAAAGTCTGGGACTTACTGTCTATGCATATTTCAGGCGATCTGATTCATCTGTATATACACGCCTAAATCCTCTACCTGACGACAAAGTACCATAATCTATGAAGGCGAATCAATTAATTTGAAGCACAAAAAATGAGATGATGCAAAGTATTATGAATTTCACTCAACATGAAGTGTTTATCTCTGAACTATAAGTCATTCAGAAATAGGTAGGGCGTCAATCTAAAGGTCTTAAAGTGGAGGAGCTATCCAATAATGTTATTAATCAAGTGATGGAAAGAAAGACTATTAAAATACATAAAATGATACGACGAATGACACTTATCTGAGATCCCCATTTGTTTTCCACTTTTTGGCTAGTATAACACACACTTCAATTTATCCTGTTACGTAAGAGAAGGAATCTTTGTAGCTTAGGTGAATGGTCTTGGTTATATTATGTTCTCTGAGCTGGGTTGTTTAATCATGAAGGTTTCAGCATCTTCCTACAAGACATTATCACCACTATCTATCAAACAGTGAGAAAAATGATGGAAAACAGAAAGGTTAGAGGTGAAGCAGAGGAACTGCCAACAGGAAAATCTATGCAGTCAATGACAAAACGATTAAAGGAAACAACCAATCACAAATCACTTCGTCAGGGTGAGGTACTGAATCACTCATGGACAGATATTGACAACTCCTTCATACTGAAGTTAGTGATGATGATGTTGTGTACAAAGATGATGAAAGCTTGACGATTAAGCAACCCAACTTAGAAATCACAATACAACCAACAGTATCCACTTGAGCTACAAATATTCTCCACATTTTCAAAGTTAAGTTACCGAGACGAATGATTGTTTTTATTCAATCATTTAGTAAGGTGATTACCACAGTTAGTTCATAAAGGCTTTCGGTAACTGGAATTTCAACAGTTAATGGTACGGTTTTTTACTATGCAATTTGTTGTTTTATGAAGGATAAAAAATTATTGTAACTTCTCTTCTGTTCATCTTTATAGGTTGTAGAATATTGCGGAAAATTAACTCATTTCCAAAGGGTACACCTACACATCATTTTATGGTTCATTAAGTTAAACAAAATTTATTGTCGAGAAAATGATAAAACTGAGAATATTTCTCCATCTCTCTCTCTCTCTCTCTCCATCTTCTCACTTGAAAACTGACCAGCGTTTAAGGTAATTTAGTTAAGCGAGACTTGATTACTGACTATTATACAAGAGGCTGCTACTGTCTCCGCTTGAAAATCTGATGATCAGTCACAAGATGGTTAAATTTAAAATTTGCATAGATGTTGAAGTGAGTAGAAAAATTATTTTTTTCCTTTTAGTAGATGTCTAACGTTTCTTTTGATCAGAGTTATTTACTTGTTAAGGCTAGAACTTCCCTTATACACTGAACATCAATATGTGTTATTGAAACAAAGAACTAAAAATAATCTCTTTACGCCAGGAAGATTGATCCTTCACGAAGGAATTTGTTCATCTTTCGATACTTGAAATGTTGTATTTTCCTTCAGATAAGTTTAAAACTTAGGCATTGGGTTAGATTGTGATCCCACAGTACATCTGTTTCCTTAGAATAAAACACTGTGGAACAGTATTATGTATTCACTGGTTGATATTTCGAGCGGTTAGATTATTATTACAGCATAAAAATTTTGCCTCATTCAGCAACTATATGAAGATGCCACATGCCAAGTAATTCACAATGGGAAGCTCAGTGATGCTTTTGAGAGAAGACAGGAGACAGGAGTGACACAAGGTTGCCTACTATTCCCCATGATATTACTGATTGTGGTCGACTGGATCATGCAGAAGACAACAGTGGGGAGCGAGAAGAGGTGGATTCTCTGGACTGCGCAAAAGAACCTAGAAGATCTGGATTTCACGGATGACTTGTGTGTGATGTCATACAAACTTGAAGATCTACAGGCGAAAACTAACAAGTTGGCAGAAAAGGCAGTGAAGACGGGACTTCAGGTGAATATAGAGAAGGCAGAAGTGATGAAGATACATAACCAACAACTGCAACAACAACAACAACAAACTTCAGTCACCATGAACGGGAGAAACTTAAAGGAGGTAACCTCCTTCACTTATCTAGGAAGCACTGTTTCAACTACAGGTGGCGGCACAGATGAGGATGTCAAAGTCGTAATCGGAAAAGCAAGACAGGTGTTCATTAGCCTGAAACCAGTGTTGGAGATCCACGTCACTGCACTCAGCAGGTGGAACAAGATCCAGATTTTCAACACCATCTCAGGCAAGTCAGTGCTTCTGTATGGCTCAGAGACTTGGCGCGTCACGAAAGGGATTTCCAATAAACTACAGGCATTCACCAACAACTGCTTATGCTCGCTACTGAAGATCAGATCAGATGGCCAGAATAATGAGAATAAGCAACAATGAGCTCTAGGAACGAACCAGCCAAGAACCTATCACCCAACAAATATGCAGAAGGAAGTGGAGATGGATTGGATAAGGCATACACTGAGAAGGCCGACTGGGGACATCACGGGTCAGGCCAGGTACTCGATTAAATCCCCCATGGGAAGCGACGAGTTGGGCGTCTCAGCTGAGGGTGACATGGAGGAGGTCGTGCGAAGAGGAAATGAGAGGTTGTGGGCTGTCGTGGAACCAGGTTCAAAAGATCTCAGAGAACAGAGGTCACTGAAGACGTGCTAGTGAAGCCCTGTGTTCCCCTAGGAACCCAAGGGACTAATAATAATAATAATAATAATAATAATAATAATAATAATAGAATGAGAGATTCTACGAAGGTCAATGCATAAATTAACACGTTACCGTACTTATGCTGAATATAGTTTGGTTAAGAGAGAGATAGATTTACTAATCTTTGTTCATCAAATCAACACTCAACACATATTATAGGAATGAAGCAGCAACTATACTGCTGATGCAAAGAATTTTGTTGCCTTTAAAAGCCAAAAATATGCCCCAGTAGAATTAAAAATGATCAAATGTGAGAAACATTGAAATATTTGCCAACCGAAACTTTAATTCAAGGAACAGATCAAGATGAAAATTCAAATCCTGGGCTATAAATATTTTAACAATGTCGTTTTAGCTGGTGTAAGGGTAAGGATATTGATTTATTATTTTTTCTTCAATTGAAGGATTCTTCATCATTGCCTACAACTACCAGGCGATCCATTGTGAAGCATTCGGTTGAAGTAACTATATTTTGTACGAATTACAGGCCGTTATAAGTTATGGTATGTTTTTATCAATAATATGTAGAAAAAGTAGGAAAGGAGAAAATTAGTTGCTTAGAGGAAGAGTTTGCTACCATCCATGACCTGTTTAGTAGGAAGGGCTATCCAGCAATGTTTATAACTAAGCATACGAAAGGTACAAGAATGTCAGCAGTTCCTAAGAAGCAAATCTTAGTAAAGCTGAAATTTATGAGTGATATTGCCAATGAGGTCATCATTGAACCCATAAAAACACCCTTGCAATAAGCATTTCTAGTCACTAAACTGTGTCCCATAACATGGAACTGCGCGGTTCTGGATGCAAAAAATAAAGGCCAACTGCCTAATTCTACCACATCTTTATGCGGAGTTAGTTAGGTTGAGTACACATTGAGGCAGTTCCATCGTCAAATTTTTGAACAGCACCCATCATAGTTGAACAAGGTGGAAGTTAGAACAATAAAGAGCTCTATACTTGGACACTTATTTGACACTAGACACCAAGTAGATACTAGAAAAGAATTCAAAATTACTCTTATCACAAGTTGGCAGAAACGACAGCGAAGACGGACTTCAGGTGAATATAGAGAAGGCAGAAGTCATGAAGATACTTAACCAACAACTCCAACAACAAAAACAAACTCCAGTGACCATCAACGGGAGAAACTTAAAGGAGGTAACCTCCTTCACCTATCTAGGAAGCAGTGTTTTAACTACAGGCAGCACAGGCACAGACGAGGATGTCAAAGTCGTAATCGGAAAAGCAAGACAGGTGTTCATTAGCCTGAAACCAGTGTGGAGATCTTCTGCACTCCACTCAGCATGTGGAACATGCTTACGCATTCTGTTACTTCACACAGTAGAGGCGATTGTAATTCACCTTTACCAACATAACTTTGTATTACAAAGATGTTTGTTCTATCACTTTCATTACCATGGTCATCAATATAATGTAACTTCTGACATTAATTTATACACTTCTTCCTCCCTTATCTCTATCAACATTCATTTGTTTATTATTATTATTATTATTATTATTATTATTACCCTACGTAAGAGTAACCTGCTCCATATTATCAATTTTAATTACTCTAATGATTATTTGCATCTTAATTTCTAACACTTATCATCTTCAAGACTTACTTAAAATGTATAACTAATGTTCACCGACCCTCCACCACTTGATTAGTGTTTTGATTGAATTAAAAAACTTACATATGTTAATGTGGGGGCAAAGATGAAGACTTATATGAAACAGAATATATTTCTTCGCTCAATCAATCTTTTTTCTAAATATCTAAATAGGAATATTCTATGATTTATGTTATGAACGTCTGAATCTGAATCTTTTTATAATGAGTCTTATGATAATTTGGACGTTTCAGTACATTATGTCTGTCACCAACCTTCATGACGTGAATACCTTTCATCGATCGTATAGTACAAGGCTGTGCGGTTGGTTGTCACGTAGCAGGATCCTTGCGAAGCTTAGCAATGCCTTAAAAGTATCTAAGCCAGAGTGGATACAAATAAGAACTTATCACTATGGATTAATACTACTAGTAGATTTCAGAACGGTAGTTAGATTCCCATCTTCTTTATAAGCTTTCTCGTACATTGTACAGTTTGTGACAAGTATAAGCAAAACGTACATTCTAGTAGTGTAAAGTAGGTTTATAGTTTAAACTTTTGCATGCTAAACTGTGGTTCAACACATGAAAACATAAGAAGTGATAAAGATTCACTACGGAAGATTTAGGTGGGGAGGGGGAGAAGGCGAGAAAAAAACATCACCCAGTAGAAACATAGAGGACAAAAGCATTGGAAACTGGAATGTCGAAAACAAACGAATCTTTGATAATGTGAGTTCTTCGTCGGGTCTGATATTTTTCTCAGTACCGATTATAATTTTCTACTGCTAATCTTAAATGCCACCTTGTAGACTATACGAAATTACAATTAATACGGTAGTAATTGGTATCTGTAAGTATGTCTCTGCCTTGTCGACAAAGAGAATTTAAAGTATTTTTGAGTATGTGACAATATTCTGCACCTGGATTTACTTTTGATGACGAATACTTCGAAAGATTGACAAGGTTTATACTGCAAGACAAGTATATAAGTCATGATAGGATGTCATGCATAAGATCACCTTTTCTCATAGTAGAATATGGTGACTGATCTACTAAACGATTAGTGTGGAAGTTATCGGGATACAAGTCTGAGATGCTGACTGCTTTCATCCCATACGCACGACGAGGAAGGTGGGGAAAATCGACATGCATGGCGGCTGATAAATTCCTTTCCTGGTGTGGAGGTTGCCTTTGTCTTCTTTCCTGTAGTCTACGTTTGACGTGAGAGTAATAGAAATAAAGAAGTTGATAGATAGCATGTTAATACCTCAATGACTCTTACACATAGTAATGAAACTTTATGGGGCGGACAGTTATACTATCAGTGTCAGCCAACGATGGTGTGAGATTCCTTGATTGTTTATGTTCAGTCATGAGAATCACTTTATTTTACTCGTTGTGAGAGTAGACATATGAGAAAGTTATCTATCAACTCCAATCATACTACTGCTGAACAACTGAGTAGTTAGAAACTACTCAAGCGGATCTTTAGATTATGCCAATCAAATAAGAGTAATCTAAGCACCGGACGGCCGTCGCGCTTGTTTGAAGCCGAGCTCATGAGGGGTAAACCCGGATAGAGCCGAATTACTTCAGACATACTGAAGTGCTATCGTTTTGAACGCCAAATTCGCAACAATAACAGTAAATGTTAATACACTGCAACAAACTCACTTGTTTTTATGACTTTGCAACTGTACATCTTTCAAATTGAGAATAACTCGTTCATATGGTTGACCAATTAGGTAAAATCTGCACATCATATTCGGTGGATAATTCTGAGGATATTTAGGACTGAAAAGATGACCAGATTTAGATTGACTTGGTCGATCTATCATTGATGGAGAGGAGTTTTCTTCGTAGAATGGACTTTTCATCAAACGATCACAATTTGTTCCCATCACATGTTGACCATCATTTGTATAACGATCTGGTAATGAATATAGTATTGATTATAAAACTGAGGCTCAGATGTCGATTAGTAACTAGTTTTTGAAGGTGAATTTCTCATATTATGATACACATTTAACGCTTCAAAGTAACCTTTACGGCAATCTATTGTCGATTATAAATCCTCATGATGGACCGAAGTATTGTTATTTTTCAAAGTAGAACATATTGACGCCATTATTGTTCTCTAACGGCTTCAAATAGGGAACATCCGATTCTTGTGCAATATATGTAATCACTAAGTTCTTCTGTTGCAAGTGTGCTGACGGCAGTGTGGGCATCTGGAAAGTGCTGATTGCCTAGACGTTTACAACAGGGTCCGAAATTTAATCACTTATAACCTACCTCTCTTGAATTTACTTCCTGCTATCAGTATTAAGCTCCATAACATTTTCTTAGCTAGCCATTCTGCAACCAATGGAAACGATCTTGCTGGTATTGATCGATGGGACCATACCCGAAGATGATACGTATCACTCAGTGCTACTAAACAAACAGTTGGGCGATGCAAAGTCACTGAACTGACATGCACGGCCTTACCATCTCCATTCATTCCACCCTAACCACGTAGGCATAGGCATGGAGATGGAGACTGTTGTGACTACATATCATCTGGCTGACCTTCAGTCATTCGTTTTCTTCTCCGATTACGTGGAAAATTCACTCCAAATGGCTAATTGAATTCTCTCGATCATTTTGTAATATGGCTACAAAGCTAGAAGACTCGCTATCGTGGTTCACTTTGATAGATGTTGGTTGGAGGCTATTATGGGAAAACCGTGTTTCACCTAGGTTTCGAGTTGCCAAGTCTCATCTTTAAGGTGTATCTGCAACCAAGAGGGAGCTAATGTCTCCCCCGAGAGATTCGAACCAGCGTAACCTAGTCCTGCAACCACAGACGTCACCACTGGGTTATTTCAATCACGACTGTCCTCCTGTAGGATTGAATTTGACATTGGAAAAAAGCTCATTGATAAAAATAATTGAGTTTCTCTTTGTATACAGTTATTTCAGAACCACTGGTGGTAAGGAAATTAATGATGGGTTTGTAAAAGGTTCTTTAACTGAGTCATAGAATAATACTGTAAGATCAGCCTGTTTTTTGAAAAGAAAGACACACTTTTTCTTTTTCAGCTAATATAATACTTAGTCATCCTCAATAAATAATGTAAGATCACTACTTGATCACAAGAGAACAATCGTGATGTTTCAGTACTTCTATCCAATCAATCTCACGAGGTCAGAGTCTCAGTGGGAACAACATCACTCTCTGGAGTGCAGGTACATCCAACTGACGAGCCCCACATAGGACGAAACTCTCATCCTGAATTCTTTTGCTAGCCACAACCGAGCAAAATTACCATAATTAACATTCAGGAAATATCGAGGCATCCTCATAGGAGCCCATATGCCAATAAGGGTCGAACAAGTCGATTCAATAAAAAATAAATAAACAGTACCAATTTCACATATTTGAGAATTTTACTTCTCTGTGAGATGTAACTGTTATACTTTGACTGTCATCGTAAGCACATGAATCTCATAATTTCTCACCTAACACTTACGATTACTGTTGTGAACTGTACCAATCTGAAAAATAGGGCATCAAAGATTATAGACTCTTTACTGAAATTTGTTTCATGTGCTCGAGTATTCTCAATCGGATTTTATCAGCTGACTCTTAAGTCACTTTGGTATCAGAATTAGAATATGGTACATCGATGACTGATTCAGTTAACATCTCTAATGTGTATCTTTCAAATATATTGGAGAGTGATTCGATAACTTTACGATGCAACTCAACAACTGACTGAATTAAACTTTTGATAAACATTTCAATAAACTTCAACTGGGAGGGAGTTGTAAGTTAATCTTGTCACTGTAACATTAAAATCCTTATAATATGCATAAGTCTCGAATCTAAAATTACTAATTGACTATTGCCAAAAATGAAATGACATAACTGATTTCAGTTCTCCTTCAGTATCAATCAGTCTGGACAGTGTTTGTCCACAACTGTAGTCAGTGTATACAGTCTAGAACTATATATATATTGAGATGTGCAGGAGATGATAAGGGTTTTCTAGTGTAAAGAGATGATGCATGGTATAAAATTTCTTTTCATCATATTTACCTACAAGTTGTTGACAAGGGAACACAATCCATAAACTTGGAGTATTAAAGACTTCATCTAACGTTTTCGATAGCTATTTACTGACATGATGCACATTTATATCACCATTAAACTCAAGGTTTATGAAGTGAATGGTAGACTGAAAAATAGATGACACATTTGAATGACTAACTTTAGGGTCAAGAAAAAGGATTTCGCCCTATTTGAGACTCATCAGCCAGATGTAACTGCATCTCAGTGAATGATTGTGTTTCCACTAAGCCTGTAACTTAACAGAGATCAAGTGGATGTTAGTTAGTTGGAAGCAATCGGCAGGAAGCCTTAATAGGTTTCGTGCTTTCTGGCATTCGTCAGCAAAACATATGTGCAATCTCGACGAAAATGGTGTCCTGCATGAGAATAGAACCCATGTCACCCAGTGTTGTAGTCAGCGACTTTACTACTGATCTATTCGGCACGCGCCTGACCTTCTGTAGGACTGGGTCGGATGTATTGATTGGTCACGGGAGAGCAACAAATTTCATGTCGTCTGGTCCTGAATGCCGATCAAATCCTATAGATCATATTTACAATGTGACCAACATGAAATTAGTTGCTCTCCGGTGATCAATCAATTTATGTAACCCAGTCATATAGGAGGTCAGTCGCAGCCCGAATAGCTCACTGATAAATTCGCTGGCTACGAAGTTGGGTAAGGCCGGTTTGAACCTCAGGTAGGATGTCAGTTCTATCGAGTCTGCAGATAAGCCTTGCTGATGACTGTTAACATGGCTTCTTACCGATTTTTTCCAACTAACTACCATCTACTAAAGTGCACCGAAATGCTCAGCCTCCTAGCTTAAAGTCCCATTGAAAAGATGAAGGAATGATACCTTACTGGTCCAGTTAACTTTACTGTCTCAAATATGTATGTTTCTTTACAAAGAATGCTTTTGCTTTTTAAGTAGACAGGTCAGTCAGATGTTTTATTTATCATGGAGTGAATAAATTATTCAAAACTACGAGACATTATTAATGTTTGAATTGTTATTATTCATCTCCTTGGGAAATATAATGGAAGAAAGATTCCAAGTTATATTTCATACTATTTATCTCTCAACTAAGAAGTAACTAGTAATTAGGCTACTAAGAAAGATTTTCCTAAACAAGACTGCAAGTGAATTAGCCTATACATTGCTATACAGTTGCCTAATTATCATTAAAACGATTATTTAGAGAAACTTGGTATGTATTCACAAAGTTAATTTTCATTAGCAATGACAACCAATAATAGCAAGAAAGTGATTAGTTTGCTTTTTTTGACTAGAGTTGATGAAAAGAAGTGCTCATTAGTGGTCACTTTTGTTTGATGAATAACTAACCTGAACTCGAAAAATAATTGGACAACAACCATAGTCATGTCGTAAAAGAAATATCTAGAATGGATTTGGGGATTTAAAGGATTTTCAAGTTGGTATTCACTTTGGACTAACATTAGTTGGAGGAGCATTGGAAACCTGGGACCAGTAGAGCAAACCTGATGAACTTGAGGACAACTATTCAACGATGAGATATTAGGTGATGGTCACGGTATGTCGTGAACTGACAGAAGTAGGAGATATGAACCATTGGATTTCGACTGAGTGGTGCAATGGTAATGTACTGGCCACGAAACCTTAAGGTTGATGGGTCGATCTCTGGCGGGATGGAGTTGTGGGTGCGCACTGCTGAAGAATCCCACACTAGGACGAAAGTGTTGTCCGGTTCTCTCAGGTCTCCGATGTTCCTACGTCTGACATCAGTTCTTGATGAATAACAACTTGAAAAATATCTAGAATGATCAATTCTTTAAGGCGGCCATTGCAAAGAGAGAAGTTAGGCATAACTCTTTGGGTAGCAGAATCACGGATTTAACTTTACAACTGCTAGTGCTTCAGCCAGACCTAGATGTCCCCTCGTTACTCTTTCCAGATGAGTCATTCACGCTTTATACAAGATTTTGAAGGATTTATCAAAGGTGGCCAAATATCCTGAGTTTACTAAGTTTTCTGTTGTAAGGCTAAATATGCATTTCCGTCCTGTTTTTGTCAACTGGGTTGCATTATCTTCACGAGCACATTACATAAGATAATGTGTGGCATAGCCAATTAAACTTGGCCCCACAGAAGGAAGTAAATTGATACACAGATACACACTAATATCGCCCAACGCTTGATCTTCGCCTACTAAAGAATGAGTTTCCAGCAGAAGACCGTGACTCTGTGATTGATGGCAAAAAATAATCTCTTTATGCATCCTGACAGTGGCCTGTTAAGAATATATGCCATGCTGACCCACTTGAATTTAAGACTCATCAGTAAAATCTTTCTAGGAAGAGTATGCTTGCGTTTCATCATGCCTTTCAGCCTTGAATCCTTATCTATTCAGTTTAGAGGTTTATAGGAATTTTTTTCGATTTCAGGTTATGAACTGCTGAGGAGCCCTGTGCTGGGACGAAGCAATTGTCCAATACTCTCAGGTTTTCTACTCGTTCTCCGACTGATGTCAACCGATAGTAAATATGACTTTGAAATCTTTTCTATCAGTTTCATTGGATATCCATTTTTCATCAGGATTTCTCGTAAAATGAACAAGCCAATTTTTTCTCAGATTTTTGGGTTATTATTTTTTTATGCCTGTGGAAGTTCCGAGACGTTTGTCTACATTTGGGTAACCTGTTAAACTATCTACTTAACAATTAATCAGTTTTATTTACATGATGTAAACAGCAGTAGCACCATGAACTAGTGCTTCGACCAAAACGATTCTTCATCATCTGTTACCCATTATTCTTGCTTGAAATAAGGAGTTACACGAACCCTAAACAA